CAGTGTGTATATGGTTTAAATCCAATCGATTTAAATCTCTAGCCAGTAAGACTTGACTTACATTATGATTTATTTATTTTTTGTCAATCTTATTTTACAATTTTATTGTGCAAATAATGAATAAAGCAAGTCTGCTCCGCCACGTCAGCGGAACAAACCCAAGTAGTAACATACATATTAAGACAATGTCATGGCATTCAGATTTCTTGCACATTTGTTTTTAAATGTAGATTATAACATGCTAGTCAGGTATGTGTAGGTTGAGTGAGCATATAACAGTTATCTTGTGAGAAGGACTAGACAAATTAAAAAATGAAATAAAAAAAATATATAAACATTAAAACCGTAGAAGCTAAAACATGCTGAGTACACAGAGTGTTGTCAATATCTTGTGGTCTAAAAGAGTGTATGCATGCTGCAGAACAGTTAGGCTAATTAGAGTGAGAAGCTTCTCTATGCATAGGACATGTTATGAAAAAATAAAATTAAATATACAAGTTTAATCATGTAGCTAGTACCAAATAGACAAATACCACTGGATTCACATCATAATATGTCATAATATGCAAGCAGTTAAAGCATAGTATTCAACTAGTACAGCTGCATCATGTCAGGCTAATAGCAGTCAAACTGGTACACAAGCTTATGTGCCCCTAGCCAATGCCTAATGGTGGAGAGTCCCAGCCTCCCTTGTTGTCTGCCTTCATAGTTAAGCCACCCCATGGTGCCCAAACCCGCAGAGTCAGCTGTAGTCATCCCTGTAGTCGGAGCGCAGCGTTATGTTTCTGCTTCCCCAATTATGTGAGGTTGCTTCATGCCGATGTACATTGACCCTCCGAGGGTGTGAGAGGCGTGGGGGGAACCTTCCCAGGCTGGGTCTTGGCTCAGGAGGATAGTAGTGCACTGTAGAGTCTGGTCTCCGGTGCCTTTGTGCTTTCTGATGCTTCCGTTTCTTCACTAGTCGCTCCATCACGTGGCTTCTCCCGGCGGGCCGCGGCCCATGGGCTGTGCGTCATTGGTCAGGCAGACCGTCAGGGGCGGCATCAGGTCTCACTGTGCGTTGCTGAATTCAGAGCCAGAACTGTGCCGAGATGTTACCAAGGACCATTGTGAGTCAGTCCTCCTAGGAGGCTGGAAGTTTCTGTAAAATCTGGCTGGATTGATCGTCACTGTTAAATCTTCTTAATTTCTTCTTGTCTTCAGTTGACTGATATATGTCTTTTGTATATATGGTCGTGGGCCAAATATAATGCTCGCTACATTAATATATGCCTATATTAATGAAAAGTACTAATACGCAATCAGACTTACGGTTTCTTCAGGTTTATTCTTAGTTACGGATACATAATAAAACAACAAAGGATGTTACAGGATAATGGATTTCAACAGCAGATGGTAACTGCTGGACTCCTGAAGGGAGAGTTACATCCTTACATCTTTACATCGAGAGAGAGCGAGAGACCTCGTGTTCAGTTACTATAGAGAAGTGCCCATAATGATGTCAGACTATAACTCTAGCCATATACGGACAAAACCCCCAAATTCACATTCCAGTGCTCTCGGACAAAGAAAGCCTTGTGACTTATACCATCTGATACTTATGTCAATCCACACATCCATATATGATCAATAGAAACATAGAATATGCAATATTCTACAGTTTCCCATCGGCGGCCATCTTAGCATGTTGTGTGCAGGGAGGTATCTCTGAGGGAATAACCACAGGTAACAAAGGTGAGAATGTGTCAGCCCTCTATTGGGGACTTGGATGTCCCCTGCTGGTCCAAAGGGGGAGGGGGAGTACAGTGAGTCCACACTTTTGACCTATGATTGAGAAGAGTGGCCATCCCTCCCCATCCTGGTCTCGTGTAGGCCGCAGCCGTGCCCGGACATACTGCTACCGGCTGTCTGCAGGTTTGGCTCAAAAGAATAGTCACGGGGGCACACAAGTTGGTACGAGTTGTATCCGTTTAGAGAAAACAGCGTTTGTCAGGTAAAACAGGCTTATTTTTCGACAAGTTCCCGGAGCTCAGTTAAGATGTGACCGGCCATCTCTGCAGTCAGGCTCCGCCCCTTAAATTATTATTTTTGAATGTAAAGACTCATTCTTGTTTTATTTGCAACCAGGTGAATATCTCATACTTACAATAATAACTTTTCAGATTAGTTATATCAGAACTGATTTTGTTATTAACCATTAGAAAATAGAAATACATAAAGAGGACATTAATATAAATTATTATAGTTGAACTATGTCCAGTTTAATAGGTTTGTGGTGGTCATCCCATGAGATGAGGGGTGTTCACCGCCAGAGACGTCCTTTTCCCCTAGGGTGCGTAGCCCTGTGGTAATCTTAAAGCAATCTCCAAGCAGACCAGAAAGCCGGTATAACTGTACAGCTCTTAGAAGAGCAAGTAGTTATAGCTGTTCCCTACAATCACGAGACGAGGCTGCATTTTGAGGGTAGCGTAAACTTATTTATTGGTAGCCACACTGGCCTTTTATGCAATTCCTCATGCAAGAGGCACTCACCCATGGAACTTGTGGGGAACTACAATGTAAAATTACAGACCAATAACATAATGTATGACACTCCCACACATAGCATACAATCCCTCCCCATTAATTACTGTATCAACTCAATTATCTCCAGGCGAAAAAGAACATAATTTACAGACAACCCAAAAGTACCCCAAAAACTCACATAAACCCCATAAAAAGTATATTCCCTGATAGCCCCAACTTGGGTGAGCAACATATCCTAAATCAACCACAGAATCCTGAATAATAGATCAGAAAAAACAGGGTGCCACAATCACAAAGTTAAATTCAATCTGGAGATTCCCATTGATAGGAGGGACAAATAGATGTAAGAAAAATATCCACTTTATTAGTAATATATCCAGGTAAAATAAGCAATAACACACACAAGAATGTGCAAAATTGCAATACAATGATGTATTAAAAAGCCAATTAAGGCACGATGGCCCCTATCCAAAAATCACCCAGATCGGTTCAGGCGTTCGGGATTTTTATGGAAGTCTTATTTCTGACCGACCGCACACGAGGCTCCTGCCCAGAATAGTTCCAAAGATTTCAGGTTGTGCGGCCGGTCTCTTTCAGGAGCTTCAAATACAACGAAATATCCCAAATAACGGTTTGTGAAAAAGCTAGTCGTGTGTCCCTCATTCGGGAGTTTGGTTTCACCGAACGATGCCTTCTTCGGATGACTTGGAACGAACATAGGTGATCCTGGAAGTCTCAGTAGTGTTCAGGCCGTTGAGTGTTTGAAAATAGGTCCATACACTCGACGACCAAACACCGCTGGACGTACATCCGAACGACTGCCACCCAGTGAACCACTTAGAACATTCAAATGTTGTGGTCAGATTCGTAACCGAACCAGGCAAAGCAAAATTAAACTCTAGAAACAGGGCATCTGTTACAAGGTTTTTCCCTCATATTTGGAGAACAATTTAAATTATAGGTATTCATTGTGTATACATAGGTTTGGAGAACAGCAATGGGATTAAGATATTTATTAACCTTTTAGGTTAAACTGTGAATATTGTATGAATATAGCCTCGTGCTATCAATTGTTGATGATCTAAGGAGAAATATTATTCCCATTATGGAGTCAGAAAGGATTTTGTTTTTCCTTTTTGTGGAATAATTGGAAATGGCTACAATTATTTTTCCTTCTTTTGGATCAAAAGCTTTAAAAGAATGAGATTCAAGGTTGAACTTGATGAACTTTAGTCTTTTTTTGCATAAAAAAAAAAAAAAAAAAATCCCTATTCCATGCTGAATAACCATTGGACTATAACGTATATTATATAGGTAGGTAATATATTGTTCAAAAGATTTCTCATCCAGATGTATTTTATTAAAAGAAATCCAATTTAAATTTAAATAATCACCAATTTGCATCCACAGTGGTTAAAAGGTGGTTAATAGGCACCTGGTGAAGTGGTCTGGGTGCCATGTCCTTGTAGTTTTAACCCTGCAAAATGAAACATTGCCGTTTTGAAGGAACAGTAATGTTTACATTGAAGGGTTAATATGCATCTAGTGGCTGTCACACTTACAGCCACTAGAGTTGCTTACACCCAAGTTAAACTCGGCTGTTTCAATCAAATGGTTTCACGGAGACCATTTGATTGGCACAGTACAGCATTTTGCCGCGTATTGGCACTAGATTGGAACCAGCTTTGATAATCTAAACTGATCTCATCCAAAAATGCGGAGTGGCAGCGTGGAGAACAACATGGCTTAAAGGTGACCTTTGAAACGCTCACACAGCAGGGAGACCTACAGGTAGCAGGACATTCTAGCGTTAGAAATACAGGTTTGTATTCCTAATGATATAGTGTTTATTAACCCCTTAAGACCGGAGGGCGTACAATTACGCCCTATTTTAGGTGGCTCTAAACGCCGCCGGCCGTAATTGTACGCCCTCCGGTCTTTTCTTACTTACCCGGTCGCCGGCGGTCCCACACCGGCAATCGCGGTTGGGTGGACTCCCAGGGAGCCCCCCGGCCATGCGAGGACCCCACAATCACATGGCCGGGGGTAGCTGCCTCCTGCATTGCCAGCAGGGGGGCTGCCTGTAATGACAAGTGGTCCCCCTGCTGGCTGGAAATGAAATTAAAATAAATGAATTAAAAAGTGTAAAAAAAAAAAATATATATATATATAATATATATATATATATATATATATATATATGATCTAAGTATATATATACACATATACATACACACACGTACACTGTCTAGGTGTATTTTACTATTAATATATATATAATTATATATATATATATTAATATCAAATTGCACATAGACTGTTACTGATTAAATATATATATAATTATTGTTAACAAATAATTTGTGGATCCATGCACTCACGCTCACAAATTATGTGCATTAAAGTATTAATAATACTTGCCGGGTGCCAGTCCCCATGGGGCAGTGAATAGAAATGACAAAAAAGTCCTGGGCTGCACTCACGGTCTTTAGAATGAAAGTTTTGTTTATTCCATAAAGAGATCGACGTTTCGGTCCACGCAAGGACCTTCCTCAGGATAAAATAGCCTGCTATTTGATCTAGAGGAAGGTCCCTGCGTGGACCGAAACGTCGATCTCTTTATGGAATAAACAAAACTTTCATTCTAAAGACCGTGAGTGCAGCCCAGGACTTTTTTATAATTATTGTTATATATATATATTTATATATAATATAAAAAAATTAAATATGTAAATACGTTAAAAAAAATTAAAAAAAAAAATTAAAAATAATTAAAAAATATATATAGATGTGTGTTATTTCGTTCTAACTGTATTGTGATAATATATATATATATTTATATCAAAATACACGTAGAACGAAATAATATATATATATCTACATACATAAATATATACGTATATATCACTATATATATACCTATATATAAATAAAAATATTTTTTAAAAATTATATATATATACACATATAGATTCACATATGTATATATATACATATATTAATTCTACATATATATTTATGTAATATTTTTACATAATTAGGTATCTTAATTAATTACAATTAGCGGGACCTGCCTGACAACCCATGCTGAAAGTAAAGGGATTTAATTTGCTAGCACTATACTTAACCCTATAACTTTCCAAGACACCATAAAACCTGTACATGGGGGGTACTGTTCTACTCAGGAGACTTCGCTGAACACAAATATTAGTGTTTTAAAACAGTAAAATGTATTACAACGATATCGCCAGTAAAAGTGAAGTTTTTTGCATTTTTCATGCACAAACAGCACTTACACGGACGATATTATTGCTGTGATACTTTTTACTGTTTTGAAACACAAATATTTGTGTTCAGCGAAGTCTCCCGAGTACAACAGTACCCCTCATGTACAGGTTTATGGTGTTTTCAAAAGTTACAGCGTCAAATATAAGGCTTGCGTTTCATTTTTTTCACATTAAAATTCGCCAGATTGGTTACGGTGCCTTTGAGACCCTATGGTAGCCCAAGAATGAAAATTACCCCTATGATGGCATACCATTTGCAATAGTAGACAGCCAAAGGTATTGCAAACGGGGTATGTCCAGTCTTTTTTAGTAGCCACTTAGTCACAAACACTGGCCAAAATTGGCGTTTTTTGCATTTTTCACACAAATATGCTAGCTTTGGCCAGTGTTTGTGACCAAATGGCTACTAAAAAAGACTGGACATACCCAATTTGCAATACCTTGGGTTGTCTACTATTGCAAATGGTATGCCATTGTGGGTGTAAATTTCATTCCTGGGCTACTATAAAGTCCCAAAGGCAACGTAACCAATCTGGTGAATTTCAGTTTCAAATGTAACGTGCTATATTTGACCCTGTAGCTTCCCAAAACGCCATAAAACCTGTACGTAGGGGGTACTGTATTACACGTGAGACTTTGCTGAATACAAATATGTGTATTTTATTGCAGTAAAAGCAAACCGTATTATGACATTGACAGTTAAAATGTCATGTAGAACTAAAAAATAAAAATCAAAAAGAATCTTATTTTCTCCCTTTTTTTTCATATTAAATTATGTTTCATAGCTAAATATTTGATATTAAATGAAAGCCCTGTTTCCCCTGAATAAAATGATATATAATAGTTGGGTGCATTTAATATATGAAGAGGTGAATTACGGTTGAATAGACATGTAAGCGCCAAATGCCGGAGTTTTGTTTACATTTTGTTTCGTTCACAACGTGTACATT